ATATATATATATATATATATATATATATATATATATATATATATATATATATATATATATATATATAAAAATATATGATAAGAAAAATCTTATTTGTTTATATTAACTAACAGTAACTCATGCAATTTTTTGTTCAATCAATTGTTTATATGGGTTTTAAAATTAAGTATATATACATTTATTAATAGTGGAGAATTAATGACAAGATGTTATATTTATAATTTAATTTTATTGTAAATTATTTTTTTGACATATTATTTATTTATATAACTATATTAAGCATTTTTCCTTGTCTATCTAGTTTTTATAAATTTATTTTCAGCCAATTTACAGAAATATAGTGTTGCCCCAGCGGTTTGAATGAGCTACCGTTGTCATATTTCCATATATTTAATATTTATTAGCCCGTTGGTCTGGTCGTGAGTTCGACCCAACTATTCGTATTCCGAAGTGGCTCGGCGGCCCAAAGGTCGGGTCGGTGGTTGTGGTGGACGTGGGTCGGTTTTCGTTAAAAATCCGGACCATATGTTTTGCAATGAAATAAATTGTTGGCAACAAAAATAAATTCGTTGTGTATACTATTGTCGACGAAAATAAATTCGTCGTGTATACAAAATACATTGGCAACGATATATAATTGCCAACAAAATTTATTCATTGTGCATTTTAAATGTATAGGCAACATATAATTGCCAACAAAATTTATTCATTGTGCATTCTAAATGTATAGGCAACGAAAAATATTTGCCAACAACATGAATTTGTTGTGCAAACTAAATATATTGGCAACAACTTTTATTTCGTTGCCCCGAACTTTCCGTAACAAATAAAAACTAACGAAGCTAGCAACGACTTATTTTCGTTGCCAATGGAATTAACAACGAAATTATATACTTTCCACAACGAAATTTGTTGTAGCCAAATGCGAACTTTCTTGCAGTGAGGGAGTTATATTTTCCTCACTTTTGAAACAAATATATTGAACTTTTATAAAAGAACATATTATAAAACTATATTTTAAGATATTATCTTTTCATACTTGGAGAAAAACAAATCTCAAATATTTATAATTCATGTTATGAATCTAATTTCTAAATAAATATACATCCATTTTATTATACAAAATCAAGACTATCATTTTATTATATCAAAGCACGAGTTTTGTGTTCTAGCTTCTGAAACTAGTTTAGAGCTGGTACTCGAAACTCATTCTTCGGGTTTGGGCCCGGACCTCTCAAAAACCCTTTTTTTTGTACTTCCGCTTTAGGGTATTGCTATTCGAAATTGCGTAAAACAAATCCGAAAATGAAAAATTACGTAAATTTGACCTTCCGAATATGGATTTTAACTATCCATGTAGAGAATTTTGCTTCGTTTACGATATTATTGTGAAAAAACTTGAAGATTTACAAGCCAAAGAAAAAACTTTGTTTTGTATTTTATGTCCAAAAGAAAAAGAACATCTGCAAAAATAAAAATCCTACCTGCATATATAACCTAACCCCCATAATAAAAAAACAATATATTATTATTCTTGTACATATCCATAGCAAACACTGAGTCAGCATCCTGAAGTCCCCACCCAAATCTCCAATCCCTTTCTTTTCCTTATTGTTCTCTCCGACCTCCAAAACCCAAACCAAAACCCCCCATTTTCTCTCTCTAAAACCCCTCTCTCTCTCTCTCTCTCTCTCTCTCTTCACTTTGATTCAATTGCAGAATTGGATTATTTGGCTGATACAGGATTTGCATGTGATCATACTCCATCAGGTAATTTCCCCCTTCAATTATCCAATTCAGTCGAATTTCCTCTTCGATTAATTATCGCTGATTGATTTGCTGAAAATGGAATTCTGTTCTTTTCTTGACTCTCGGTAGCATAGATTTTGCTGAAAATGGATGTATACTTGGTCAAACCCTGAAATCTATTTATAGATTGCGTTTGTGTCACTAATTGTGGTCTGTGTTTGATTGTTAATCGCGGAATTTGTAGAATTTGTAGAAAGCATATTTTATCTGCTATAAATTCTTAGAATTTTTATCCAGGGTTATGATTTTTATTTTTATTTTTATTTTTTTGGATTTGAAGTAGCTAATTTTAACAATATGGTGAGTAATTTGCGGGTCTGCCGTACGTTCAGATTCTGTTAGTTCTGTTGATCTTCGTCGTGTGAATTAGGCATAATGAAGTGTTGGCTATATGCTGAGAGCTGTGCTAACTGTTGATATAAGATTGAAAAGACATTTTGTGGACATTTTTTTCTTTTGCAAGTTTTTGTTTTGTTGGATCATACTCACTGTGGCGCTTAAAATACAATAAAATGGTTGAAGTGTATTCGATTGGGTCAGTTACTAATTTACTATAATTTGACGCTGAGTCTTTAGATAGGCGTGTGGTCGAATTTCAGGTGATAAGTGATGTACTACTTTGGTTAATGATGATAAAATGGCTTTTAATGAATCAAATGCTTGTCATACATTGGAGGTTTCTTGGGCCAGACCAATTTTGTTAGAATGCCGACATCTGTTTCTTAAAGATTACAAGTAGATCTGTGTGACTCTCAGTTACTCCAATGTGTTTCCAGAGAGTATTGGTCCTTCAGTTAAGTTGGTCATGTTTTTTTCTATTGGTTTACTATTTTATGTTAAAGATAATTTAAATTCGTGTTTTAAACAATTCGAAGTTGCTTTAGAGAAAAGATTCTTCTTAATTTTCTTTTCTCAGTTATAAACAAATGCATTATGAAGAGGAGTACTAACAAATGCATATGAAGAAATTCTTTAAACAAATGTATTATCAAGAAATCATTTCCAATTATGAAGTCAAAGAAACTGGCTTTAATAGTGAATGCTACTATGCACAAACTATGTATATTTTTCTTCGTGGCTTTGATCAATCACTTGGATGGTGTCCATCTAAAGGATACTTTTTTACCTTTCATGAGCCAAGCAGAAAAAAAAAAAGAAAATCTAATCGTTATATTTGCCGGTGAAGGTGACTAGTAAGGATTCTGAATAGTACAGAAAACCCCAAAAATTGACAGTAGAAAACCGTTGGATTGTTGCTGAAGGTTTCCGAAAGTAACATACTCGTTTCAGTAAAGTAAGTAACTATATGTGTTTCTTACACAACAATGGTCAACTTAATCTTAGAATTGCTTATGGCCATGTAATGATTTAAAAAACCTTTATTCTTCTACAGTAATATGGAGAGTGGAGAGGGGACTGCCGAATCACTTATAAGGAACTATAGACTCGGAAAAACTCTTGGGCATGGTTCCTTTGGTAAGGTCAAAATTGCTGAACATATTCGGACAGGGCATAAAGTGGCCATTAAAATCCTTAACCGTCGGAGGATGAAGAGTCCTGACATGGAGGAAAAAGGTGAAATTTTGCTTCAATTAGACCAGCCAAAGAATGTTTTCTTACTTATTTTAGCAATGCCTTCTCAAAGACTATGCTTTTGCATGGCAACCAAAACAGCTGTTCTGGTTTTCCGCAACTACGTGCTATTTTGTTCAGATTTTGGAACTACAGTTGTTCCATTTCCGTTGATGTAAGCAAATGTGTTTTATAGCTTCTAAGAGTTAACAGTGTTATGCAGTGAGAAGAGAAATTAAAATCTGTCGGTTATTCGTGCATCCACATGTGATACGTCTATATGAGGTTATAGAGACACCGGCAGATATATATGTTGTCATGGAGTACGTGATGCGTGGAGAGCTCTTTGATTATATTGTTGAAAAAGGCAGGTTACAAGAGGATGAAGCTAGGCGCTTTTTTCAGCAGGTAGATTCTAGATTCTTAGTCATTTTTCTGTCTCTTTTTTTTATTGTCCTCCAAGATGAGGAATGTTGAACATTATTTCACTCCACATGATTTCATGAATTTGGTTTGTCTTTTGATCTCAGATTATTGCTGGAGTGGAGTATTGCCATAGAAACATGGTTGTCCATCGTGACCTCAAACCTGAGAACCTGCTTCTAGATTTAAAAGGCAATGTGAAGGTAGCTGATTTCGGCTTAAGCAACATTATGCGGGACGGACATTTTCTTAGAACAAGTTGTGGAAGCCCAAACTATGCTGCTCCTGAGGTTGTAAAATCAGTAGACTTTAAAATATAAATATTATATAATTATGATAAATAGTAGTGACTAGAATTTGCTCCATTGGGTAGTTGTTAAAGCTGGGTTCCTTGTAATGGAGTTGATTGCAGGTTGTGTCTGGAAAACTTTATGCTGGAGCCGAAGTAGATATTTGGAGTTGTGGTGTTATTTTGTATGCTCTTCTTTGTGGTTCTCTTCCTTTTGACGATGAAAACATTCCCAACCTCTTCAAGAAAATAAAGGTATTGGCAGTATACTCTTTCTAGAGCTTAATTTACGTTCATGCACTGTGGTTTGAGATAGAGATCATCATGCAGTATACATTTTTTTTTATTCTTTAGAGTGGACTGTACACTCTTCCAAGTCATTTGTCACCCGGAGCTCGTGATTTAATTCCAAGAATGCTGATTGTAGACCCTATGAAGAGAATAACTACTCGTGAGATACGTCAGCACCCCTGGTTCAAAGTTAATCTTCCTCGCTATTTAGCTGTCACTCCACCTAATGCAGTGGAAGATCTAAAGAAGGTAAATATTTACTTAAGGTTTTGAGTGCAACTTGATATGGTTTCGTTACAGAAAAGAGGATACATTTTCATGATATAAACATAAAACGGGATTACTTTGTCCACCTTCTGAACTTTGTTTATCAATATAATACTTTTTGGGGAATATTTAGATGCATTATTCTCTGTTTCATATTCAGTGTGAAGTTTAATTTGCTTAAGCTATCAATTGATGTGTGAGGCGCAGAAGAACCATGTGCAGATATTTTTCATGAACACTTCTTATATGTAGGGTACAATTATAAATTGGCTAGGCACATGCCGTCGTATCACTTAAAGGAGGAATACATTTTGCTGCTACTTAACTGCAGAAACTCCTTCACCAGCCACTAAATTTGTTGTACTTTCATATTCTTGATCTGGTTCACGTACTTTTGCAGCCTGATGAGGATATTATTCAAGAAGTTCTCCGGATGGGATTTGCAAGGAGCCAGCTGATTCAATCACTGCAGAACAGACTACAAAATGATGTATATAATAATATGCATAAACTTTTTGTCTGCAGTTTTTCAGCTATCGATTTTATGATATAATAATTTTACAAACTTATGCTGCAGGCTACTGTTGCATACTATCTATTATTTGATAAGCGGTCCCCCATTTCCACTGGCTATCTAGGTGCTGAATTTCAGGAGTCCGTGGTACGTAAAGAGTTCTTTCTGTTTGTATCTAAAAGTCCATTTGGAATGTGTTTCCAGTTTCCACTCAAGCTGGAAAGTGTTTAGTATAATTGAAACAGTAAAAGTCTTGTGACAAAAACTCTACACTAAAAGTACAGTTAATGAAATAAAGCCTTATTTAGAATATCTAAGAAAAGAAATAGGAATGATGAAATTTGGAGAGGAGGAGTAGTATTTCAGTCCCTTGTCGCTCCAAATATTAATGTGGTAGTGCCTCCATGAGTTGCCTGAAGAATTTAACAAAAAATCTCTATGTAATTACCCAGTAGTATATTATCACTTACTTTTTCTTATTCTCGCTCTTTTCTTTGTTAGTAAATCCAATGTGCTATAGCTAATAATTAAATTAGGACATTGGTAATTTTTGGCAACAGTTTGTTGATGAAAAATGCTAGATACGGTTGGTCATCTACCTTGCCACAGTTGAAACTCATATTATAATTGTCCATTAGTAACTCAACCTCTCGTGGGTCCTTCATTTTCTCAAACAGTTTAAAATATATCCAGATTATTTATATAAATAAAAGATAAAATCTATAAATCTAATCGATATATTATCAAATCTGTAAAAAAACCAAGTCTAGATTATGAATTTAAGAATCAATTACATAACTTGAACATGTAGTTGTACATTGTATTCCTAGTATTAACATTCTAATGTTCAGTTCTATATTTTTTCTTAGTTTTTTGTTTATGAAGTAAGAAATTATGTGCTTCAAACGAGTTACTGTTGCTAAAGAAAAAAAAATCATTTTGAAATGAAAGCATCAATCATCAACATCCAAAAGTAGAAAAAGCAGCACCGAGTGGTTTAATATTTTTTATTTTATTTTTAAAGTGCACAACTTAACTATTTGATTCACATTTCTCTTTTATTTTGAGCTACTGCATTGAAAGATGGATGGCCTATTACGGATCTGGTTTTGTTGTCATTTTTGTATTTGTACTTTCTGACACGGAAATTTTTTCTCGTCTTTTGTTAGGAGACCTGTTCGATGGGACCTTATCTAGATGTTAATAAACCTGGATTTCCGCTTGATGGAAATTTGTTACCGGAGATATCAAAAAAGAAGCACTGGATAGTTGGACTTCAGGTTCAAGTTGTGAACATTTAATTATTTTGTTTCAGCTTTATTAAAACAGGTTATATCTCATGAAATGTTTTAGAATTTATTCACCAGAATTTACGAATAACTTCATGTATCCGGTTCTCTAGTAATCTATTTGGTTCGAGTCTCATACTTTATCGTGTTTACTGCTTAAACAGTCTCGAGCACGTCCACGCGAGATAATGGCTCAGGTTCTCGGAGCTTTTCAAGGACTAAATGTCAGGTGGAAAAAGATTGGGCACTACAACATGAAATGTCTTTTCATTCATCCTATTCAGAACCCAGATAGTATGGCCCTCAGTAATCACATAAACGAGAACCATTATGTTAATGGTATAACTCCCACCAATGCAAATGTGTCACAGCTGCAGGGTGTTGTGAAGTTCGAAATGCAGGTATTAAATTAAAGTTTTCTGATTTTTTTTGATGTTCTATTATGCGAATACTTTGATAATTATGCGTGATAATTTTGAGGGGCTTGGCTTATTATTTTGTCAAAACATTTCATGAAATGTAATTAGGTGTTTGCATAAATTTTTGGATAAGAGCTCGTACGCTCTAAAGGTTGCATGATAGATGCTTATGGGTTACTACAAAAAAGAAAAAAAATAGAAAAATTATCGAAATAGAAAGTGATAATATATTGATCTACAACTTGAAATCATAGAGTCTTGACAAATTTATTACCTGATGGGTGATAAATCTACTGATAAGCTCTTAGATTTTAGTATTCCTCATGATTTGTGTCGGTTCTTCAATCATACGAAAGATGAACTTGTTACACTTCAGTTTAAGGGAACATAAGTGCGATTGTACTAAGATATGCTTTCAGGAAAGTTATCGCGACCAACTTTTTTTTTCTTTCCATTTAATTTTTCTTTGTTTATCCTCTTTGTTCTAGTTATGCATTAGTTTCTATTAGATGACAAATCTAAGACATAAATTACCCTTGTACTATCTTCGCAATTTTATGTTTGTACAGTAGGAGCCTTTATTTAAGCTATAGAATAAATATTCTTTGAACTCGGTATAACAAATTAGATTGTTAATTACATATATGATATGTCTCGGTCACCACGGAACAAATTTCCATAGAGACAAAATGTGGTGCATTTCATCGTGTGAAAGAGAGAGACACACAATGAATATTACATGTACTATAAGCAAGCATTCTATGTCATAATAATTTTCCTCGTTTTCAGATTATTTTTGGATTATTTTATATTGATGCATTCAGAAGTGATATTTTCATGATTCATGTCATAATAACAAAGCTGTATAGCTGCTAATGAAAATGTGTTTAAACTAATGGCAGCTTTACAAAACCAGCGAAGTGGAGTATTTGCTTGATTTACAGAGGCTTAGTGGTTCCGTGTTCCTCTTCCTCGACTTTTGCGCCTTTTTCATGATGCGGCTCGATGTTCCTTAATTATTTCATTACCATTGCAAAATTGTTGTATGTCTGTAAATACCGGTTATTTCCACATGTACATGATTTTTTTATGTGCTTAATCTGTACTCATATACTAAATTATCTTTGTATATATGTGTGCATACCTTGTGTTTATTCTGAAGACATTTTACGGTTGTTTTGAACGAGTAATAGAAAGTCTTTGTGCCCAAGTTACGTAGTACAGGTTTTTTGATGAGTCCATACGATCAACATAAGAGTGGTATTTTATTGTCAAATTGCGTCCATTCAAGCATTGTAAACATAGCAGCATCATTGTAAGCTTTGGTATGGTATTGTTGATGTTATACTATTGCGTTGTGTAATATGCTTGATGTAAAATGAGTGCTTTCTTGTTAAACCGATCAAGGCGAGAAACTGTGTGATGGTAATTCTATACTTGTGTAATAAACATCATTGAGGATTGAGATGATATCTTCATTTTCTTTTCATAATTTGACTTGCAACTTTTAAGAATAGTATGAGTATCTGACATGTTGGCATCGGTGTTAAGTGTTGAAGAATTGACGAATACGGTTGTCTACGTGTTTAGATTGTCATCGATTTATTCCATGTATTTTATTGGGAAATTAATTAGTCCTTATTTTAGTGTTTATATTATTTAGGACTTTACTTATTTTCATGTAATGATATTTGATTAGGGAACATTAGACGCGGCCATGGGCCGGTTTTCGGCCCGGAACTGGCCCGTTGACGAATCGGACCGGCCCATTGACCAGTGAACCGGTACCGGAACTGTGAACCTCGGGACGAGCCCGGTTCAGGAATTATGCGGCCCGGCGGTTCACCCGAGTTTAAAAAAAAAAAAAAAAAAAGCTGGAAAAAGCTGAATTGGCCCACTGAACCGGTCGTTATTTGATCTTTTTTGAATTTTTTTCCCCTCATTTTTTCCTATAAATATCCTCACACCCCATTTTTTCCAATAAAATTAAGTTCAAGTCCTTTTATTTATTTCCTTTTGTTTTTTCTTATTTAAAAGTATTTTTTTAATTTATTTATACATCAAGTATATATATATATATATATATATATATATATATATATATATATATATATATATTTCCGAGCGGGCCCGGAACCGGCCCATGGCCGTGTCTAGGGAAGATGTTGTAAAGATTTTTCCTTGTCTAATTTAGGTTGTAGAAATCATGAAGAATGCTAATACTTTAAAATTAGTTATTAGGGCTCAAACTAGGTTAGTATATTCTATGCATATATATCGCCTCTCAAACATCAGATGAGTTGTTACGCTATTTAAAGAGAAGAAAAACAAATCTGAGCTTAAAAGGCTTTTAGCGTTTTGTGAAGCAGTGAAGCAGTTCTGTTCCAGCGTCGCAGTTGTGGTAACAAGTGCAGGCTTCTTAACTGCTAACAAGTGCAGGCTTCTTTTACCAGGTGAGAAGACGATCGGTGTTTCGAAAAAGGGCTTCTTAAAAAGGGCTTCTTAAAAAATTCGAGAGAGGAGTCAATCCGCTGTCTAAAGGGAGTTATTGTTGAGAGTCCACGAGTGCGGATTCAGGGTTTGTTGTGAAGAACAAGAAGTGCGGATTCACAACAAAATACATAAAGAAGGAGTCTTTAGTGGTTTTTTTAAAGTCCGGTTATTGAACGCATAAATCTTAACTAGTGAAATTATTTGCAGGCCTTGATGGACGCCAGTCACATTAGTGTCTGAACCACGTTAAATAGTGTGTTTCATTTATCTGCTTTACAAACTTATAAACTGCACACAAATGTTTGTTGGAACGTAAAACTTGATAAAACAATTTGTCTGTTACAGCAATCAGTTGATTTCTATAGGCATATAAATCAATAATTGACATCAACAACCAAATACTACATTTACTTAGTATTTGATTTTTGGAATTTGACTTATCTGCTTTATCTGTAATAACGAGTACTCAAATGGAAGATGGTTCGACTGCACGTCCTCCTTTGCTTGATGGCAACAACTATTCGTATTGGAAAACGAAACTGTTCTAACTGGATGGACGAGACCGTGGTAACAAGCAACGAAGGAGCTGAATTTGAAAAGCATGAAAAATACTGGTTCAAATAAGAACAGATTCTAGCCAATGTGAACTCAAAGGCTTTGAGTGCTATTTTTAATGGAGTAGACACCACTCAATTTAAACTGATTTCCAGTTGCGATTGTGCCAAGAAGGCATGATACACTTCAAACTGCCTATGAAGGGACAACGTCTATGAAATTGTGAAAGCTTCAAATGCTGGCAACAAGGTTTGAGGATCTTCGCATGAATGAAAATGAAACCATAGCTGACTTCAACTTCAAATTATGCGACAAAATGAGGTATATGAATTGGAGAAAGGTATTTTGAAGTCAAACTAGTTCAAAAGGTTCCAAGATCACTTCCTGAAAGGTTTGTCTACAAAGCCACTGCAATTGAGGAGACATGGATACTCTCCGTATTGATGAGTTAATAGGTCTCTTCGGACTTTTGAAAACAAGTTGGGTGCTGAAAAAGTTTGATAAAGAAAAACGGAAAGATCTTCAGACAACTTGTTCCAACAATGACGTTGTACCCTACTATGACCCCTCTTGACACATAACTCACCAAATCAATGGCTTTAATTGTTACTTTTTTTGTAAAGTTCGTAAAAGGGAATTGGCATCCATCAAAATCCAAAAAGAAAATCAGAAGTGGTCACAATAACTCCAATCAACTCGAGAAGAAGATTCAATGTAGGGAGCATCAAGGTTTTGGTCATATTCAGGCTGAGTGTGCTTACACAATGAATGAGCAATGGAAATCTCTCTCCACTACTTGAAATGTGTGTGTGTGTGTGTGTGTGTGTGCGCGCGCGCGCGTGTGTGCGTGTGTGTGTGTGGTGTATCCTCTCAACCCTCGGATGAGTTCTTAAGCCTTTTAAGAGAAGAAAAACAAATCTCGGCTAAAAAGGCTTTTAGTTTTTTGTGTAACAGTTTTGTTCCCGCATTGCAGTTGTAGAAACAAGTGCAGGCTTCTTCTACAAGATCAAGAAAATCAGTGTTTCAAGAGAAGTTGTTGGGTGCACGTTTGAATAATCCATAGGTTCTTACAACACCAGAACAGCGTAAACAACAATAAAGAATAACCTAAAGCAAAAGGAAGAGGGGTATATATATATATATATATATATATTAATTATATTATACTACTTATAAAAGGAGGAATAGTTAGTGAATACCCCTTTGAAAGACAAGATTTAAAGGAAAAAAAAAAGTAATATTAATCATGTATTATTAATTACTAATTAGTCTTATCTATTTAAGTTCCTCAAAACCAAAAGAAAGAAATACATTCATTGATACATTTAATTACTATTTAATGATTCAGCTATGGCGATTTGTCCGTTAACAAACTGCAAGAACATCTCATAAAGCCTAAACGTCATTCAGAATACCAAGAATCCAAAATATATGTACTTAAAGTAGAAAACACAAACACATATACTAGAAAGTGCATAGATTTACGTCTTTCAAATTTCTGCAACGCAAGTTAATTTCTTTGTGTCGAATATATCCAAATAATTGCTAAAAAACTTTACTTTCTTGACCACTCTCGATTTTATTCTCTGTTACTTTTTGATTATTAGAATGGATACCCAACCTTTGCTAATCTCATTCCTGGTTCAATCCATCAATGCAGAAAGGTCTAAACTCCGCAAAAGTTCGTATATGTGGAGTTTGCATGCTAAAAGGTCAAAACTAGGGATTCAATGAGAATATGTTTTTCTAGGTATATTATTATGGTTATTATGCCACTGGCTTTCGGACAATTTGGACTTGTACTCTTGGAGATTACCAGGTAAGGTAGATCGGTGTATATATGCTTCCTTTTTTCCTAGATTGTTTAATCGAATTTCGCCTTACTCTGACCGTCACCCGACGCTTTAAATTAATAGCTTCCTGTAAAATGTCACTCAACAACATTAAAATGAGCATCCATGATGGAGATTGGGATATCAGTGTAAATGTTGCAGCATTTTGATTTTGCCGCAGAGGGAAGTTTTCTAATTTTGTTGTTATATTCTTATTCTTATTCATGAACTCAATAATAAATTGATCTCAGTAGAAAATGATTTGTTATAAGGATTGAATACGATAATTGAATTAACACATTTGCATCTTTAAATGCGAGTAAACATTCTTTTACAAAAATATATGTAGTTCGACTTGATATTGTATATTGTATATTTAGAATACAACAAAAATGACAAATGGCCCCAATTTATTCTTCTCCAAATTTAGTTAGAGCCGGCCTTAAACCAACGCATCATATTTTATCATCCCATCAAGAAACAATATATTCATAACCAATGAACAGCTAAAAGTGGTACCGCCGATAACAATAAAAGATAGTTTACCAGGAGAACGAAAGAAAAGGTAAACACAACAAGAATAATGACAAAATGAGATAATTGAAAGTGAAGAAAAAATCAAGAAAGAAATTCCGAATTGAAAAGGAAAAAAGGAAAAAAAGGAAAAACAGAAAGAATCATATCGCCCAGAGTATCGAGCTAATATCATTCGGGTGATGATGATGAAATACTTAGTCACATACTTTTTTATCATTAGTAAAATCAATAATACATAACCTTGAAACCATTACATTTATTTAGTCACATAATTTTTTACATTCTAAGTACAAGTATTGTTTCTATTTACTTTCTGACACAATTCTTATAATACTTTAAAACTAAACTGTGTAATAATAACATTTTACATAAGAACAATTTCTATATAGAAATGAATATCTGAGTATTTCATGTCTTAAGTCAAATCACAAATCACATGTGTAGCACGTGGTACTTACTAATATATATAAAAGGAGAAGAGATTTCTCTAATAGTAATAATTCAAACACATGGAATTGTAATTATACAGCAACGGTTTCGGTCTCCTACCAATCTAATCCACGACTAACAAGCACTTAGCTCAATCTCAACTCACCGCACTCACTGATTCAACCCCACTCAAGTCCTAGATCGACTCACTTCACTTAGAACATAAGTATTCCTCTCAACTCACTCGGAAACCTTCTGATTTTCCTCTCACCAAGTGTTTATCCCTCACTGACCACATAATGAAGATAAAGAATAAAGGAAAAGAACAAATTTGTGTATTATTCTCTATCTATCTCTTTCTCACCCAAAAACCCTGTTTATAGATCAAATAACAACAGTCATCAGAGGGGACTTCAATTCAAAGACAAAGTCTGCCACGGTTGTTGTCACTTGACCCGGATTTAGAGGTTGATCTCGTTCCAAAATGAATAAATTATTTGGACACATTTCCTTATAGAATTGCTTAAAAGATTTCGAGAAAAGTCAATCCACCTTTTGAAGGAAGTTCAACATTAGAGTGAGTCCAAGAATGCAGATTTAGGGTTTACTATCAAGAACAAGAAGTTGGCTTGGTGTGCAAGAGTGGCAAAATATATGAAGAGGGAGTCTTTAGTATTTTTGTTAAAACCCGATTATTGTACGCATGATTCTTAACTAGTAAAATCTTATTTGCACACTCTAGTGGATACATGTCACAATTGTGTATGAACGGCGTTAAATAGTATGTTTCATTTTTTCTACTTTACAAACTTATTAACTCCACAAAAATAATTTCTTAGATTTCTATAGACTTATAAATCAACAAAACGCATATCAATAGTTAGGCCAAGGAAAGAGTTCTTTTGCTTCCACAAATACTGGGACCGAATAGAGCTTTTGTAGTAGTTTGCAACTTCTCAATATGGAGTGCCCACACTCTACTTTTCCTTACCCAGTCAGACTTGTTTGTTGAGGTTCTCCATAGATGAACTACCCCAATAATTGGGCGTTTTCTAGGATGGAGAAAAATTGAATAGCAGCAAATAGAAAACTTTTTCGGAGCTAATTTATGGTTTATATCTCTTTCGCCAATAAACTCATTCTTTTAATTTGTATTATAAATAAAAGTAAAATTTTTTTATATGACAACTTACCCCCAACCCTTTAAACTCAATTTCTAATTGTACCTAATTTAATTTCAATTTATTCAAATGTGACCACAAAAATCCAATTTTGATTTTTGTTTGCCGGTGGTCTCTGGCGTTGACTTTTTTTTTCCAGTCTGCTTTTTCCGCTGCCGGTTTCCCGCGTTGACCGCCAGTCTCCGGCGTTGACTTTTTTTTATTTTAATTTTAATTTTTTTTTATGTCTGCTTTTTCCACCACCGGTTTCCGGTGTTAGCTGTCGGTCTCCGGCGTTGACATTTATTAAAAAAATTCCCTAAAATTTTTATCCGTTTCTTTTTACGCCCGTCGCTGAACGTTGACCATATTGTAGTGTCATTAACAGTAATTATACTGTCGTTGACAGTACATTTGTCAACCCAAAATTTTATTGCTATTTTGGCTTTTTTTTTACCCCTTTATTAAAATTGTTTGGTTTGTTGACAAGTCAACATATTATTTTTTGGCTTTCTTTTATATCGTTTGATTTGTCAAGTCAACGTAATTATATTACTGGCATTGACGGTAAAATTACTGTAAACACAACAATATTACTGTCAACCACAACAATATTATTTTTTAGCCTTTTTGTTTTGTTTGATTTATTGACCAGTTAACGTAATAATGTTACTATCTACTATTGTAATATTACTGTAAATACAATAATATTACTGTGGTTGACGGTAATATTACTGTCGTTACAGTAATTTTACTGTGGAGGACAGTAATATTACTGTCAACCACATCAATATTAATTCTTTTAGTTTTTTATTATATTTGCCTTTGTTGAACGGTCAACATATTAATATTATTCTATTACACAATAATAATGGTTTTTATTGTTTTAATATTACTGTGTTAGAGAGTAATATAGCAATATTACTGTGTCAAACTGCAGTATGAATAATATTATTGTGTTAAACAGTAATATAATTAACATAACTATCAATCACAACAATATTACTATTTAAGCGAGCCAAAAAAAAAGGAGGAAAGTCAACACCGGAAAAAGCAGAAGAAAAAAAAAATCAATGCCGGAGACCGGCGTCGAAATTGTACTCAACGTTGAGTTTTGAGTCATTATTTTTGTTTGTGAAATTTGAGGTCAATTTAAGATTAAATTGAATTAAATGATGGCGTCGAAATTGTACTCAACGTTGAGTTTTGAGTCATTATTTTTGTTTGTGAAATTTGAGGTCAATTTAAGATTAAATTGAATTAAATAATAAAATTGGACACATTAAAATGTGAGGAGTGTTTTAGTCTTACACACCAAATGACAACATTTGAACTTTTTTGTAAAAGAATTTTTTTTCAATACTCCTTTATGAATAAGTATCCCATGATGAGCTTATATATATATATATATATATATATATATATATATATATATATATATATATATATATATATATATATATAACAAATAATAAAAAAAAAGAAGACACTAAAAAAACTCATGACAGAAAGCTTATACGCATCACAACAATTAAACACACTATCAAGTGGGGGAAACAAAAAAAACAAAATTTGTTTGTACTATTTACTAGCTGTAGGTGACTTTCTTCACAGTAATGACCTTTAAGTCCTTCACAGAGGAATATGCTTATATATTTTCTTCCTCCCTCCATTTTCCTCAAGGATCAAAGAATATACGAATAGCCTGTAAATGAATGAAGGCATATTAACAATTGTATGATTCCCCAAATAATCAAGTTTTTACACAATTATTCGTCTTTATTGCAGTCTACATCCTTGCTCTTCCGCCTTCATATAAACAAGTCCTCTTCTAATCCTCTGCAAGAAAAAATAAAATGTCGATAATAAGAAAAAGTAAATCGTAAAACAGATCCAACGTATCTCAGTTAAGACAGTAATGGTACCTCCTTTGTGTCCCTTATTTGAAGGAGATCTAATCTTTCTGAAGGCCGAAGATTTGTTAATGTTGCAAGCTGCATTCACGTAAAACATCGTTAACAAAAAAACATAAGTAGTTTATATCACGATTGATAACAATTTTTTTTTTACGTTGAGATATACCCAAAAACTAAAGCGCTCGGGATCCCGTGTGGGTGGCATCAACCCTTCCGCTTTGAAAAGCTCCGCAAGCCTTACTCTATCTGTAAACACTTCTTCTCATAAACATTGCAAAATTGGTAGTATTTATAGAGGGCAATAAATTGCAGAATCCGTAAAAAAATGTTTCGGTGTTACCTCCTTGTGCTGCTTTTTGTGCATCTTTTATCCACTGGCGGGCAAAGGCTGCCGCCTTATGTGTCATCTCCAGTAACTATAAGCATTAAAAATCACCCCAACCAAACAGAAATAAATAAATTAGGCTTGGTAATTTGAGGGTACTAATATTTGTTGTCCCTCGACATTTTTGAATTTTATGTTCCTTCTTTCGATAATTATGGAAAGTAAGCTAGGAGAATCCAACGACCCGGTATAAAATAGTACAGTGATCCGTTTATTCAAAATGTACTTTAAAGAGTTTAATTTAATGTCATTTTGTAGCAGATATAAACTTTAGCTTACATCGTTTCTCTCGGTTCCTTCTGGTGGATAGCTATCTTCTACCCATTCAACCTCAGCAATGCGATACCTTTATATACAATAATAAAATAAAACAAAAATCATTCAAAGAAACTTATTGCACAGAGACAAAACTTCATATATATATATATATATATATATATATATATATATATATATATATATATATCACACGTGCACTAGACAATGATAGAAAATAATTACCCATCTTGATCCCAATTTCGAATAATGAGACATCTCCGACGACTTTCAACCTGCGCCCAAAGATTGCTTAGACTGAGAGTTACAAAACGAAGTTACTTTGGGAAGTGGAGCTTACTTATATTTTACCTCTAAAAAGAAACGCCCGTCTGGAAGTGGCTCACAGCTGCATTAAGAAAGAAATGTGATCACGATGATGTGGCGATAAAAAGCAATCCATAATCCCTGATCTTTCTCAAAGAAGAACTCAAAAATATAAGACAACTATTAAGAATAACGTACTCTGTAATTTCCACCTCACATGCATAATCAGCTATTAACCCTGTAGATGAGTTAACTGCAGCCTACACCATAATCAAAGATGGCTCAAGCAAGAGATGTGAATATATATATATATATATATATATATATATATATATATATATATATATATATATATATATATATATATATATATATATATATATATATATATATATATATATATATATATATATATATATATATATATATATATATATATAAATAGACACATACCTCGATGTATCTCTATATAGATGTATATGGAGTATGGAATATGTATACCTCCATAGGGCTCAAAAGATAGACCTGTTCCAGTAACTCTCTATATCGAAAAGGGGGTGGGGGTTTGTGAACGCACACATAATAAGAATACCATAAAGTTATTCTGGATTGAGCGTGTCCCCGGGCAGGCCGGGAATCTGAAAAAAAATCCCCTTTTGCTCGGCCTTTGGAGCTCAAG